AAAAAAAAAAAAAAAAAAAAATTTGAATTAAAAATTAAAGTTAAAGATTTTTCTTCATGAAAGTGTGAGCCAAAAATGTGGTTGCGCGTTACATGCCGAAGTGCATCACATGTGGCAAAACACAGTAATTCACGAAATGTAAACATAGGTGCCAAGAGCTGCCCTGCACCCTGGTTTGCTTTGTTTTGGTTTGTTTGGTTTTTATTTTTGATTCAGTCCTCTCTTCTATTCACTGATGTTTATAAGCTTTCCTCCTCCCCCATTTTTTCTTTTTGCTTAAGTTTATCATATAAGATTTCTAATACTTATAATCAAACCTATGTGAGCTCACACATTTGCTTTTACAGTGGTTGGTGATAAAGTTGCTGAGGTGGCCTGAGGCCTTGCCGTGGGAATGAACAGGCATGGATTATCCTGCGCGCTCCGTTATCCTCACAGTGACTCACAAGAGGACGTCTGGGATCACTGCTAATTTGCCCTTGAGCATGGGGAAGCTTGGAAAAATTAAATAGCTTTCGGGGTAGAGGAGGCAGGATTTGAATCCTAGGTCTCAAATATCCTCTAAGCATGACAAGTAAAGTGTATATTGTTTTGATTCTGTGAAATAAGCAAAGATCTTTTCAAGAAAAATATATAAAACTCCTACAGCCCTTCTCTGACATTTTTATAAATAGCATTCTGAATATTTAAACTCTCAAAGTTTTGAGGCCCCCATTGAGAAAATAAAGTATGCAGGATCCCTTTCAAGTATTGTCCTATTAAAGGCTTTTTTGAAAAATTTTGTTTTGTTTTGCTGCTGGATATGCCTTGTGTTACACAAGGAACATATCTAGGCATCTAGTGCGGTGCTGGGATATGGCACCTGCTGGAATGGGAGGAGAATGTGCCTGGCAGGCCCTGACAGTTCAGCCAACCAGTGCTAACTGAGCACCTGGTCTTTGCTGTGTGCTGGAACAAGCAGAGTCCAGAACAGACAAAAGGGATAGATCTTGCAGCCAGTTAAAGAAAAAGGCCTATCAAAACAGTTGTTAAAGATTGTAAAGCAGATTTTATTCAAGGAGGTGGTAGCAATAGGATTGCCTCAGTGGGGTTTGCAGTGGGAAGAAAGTTGGGCTTGTCTCTGATTCCAACAAGAACAAGTGGGAATTTATAACCAGGGAGCAGAGTGGGGTCAGTGGATGGAAAATTACTACAAGCAAACATCACGGATAAGGAATTTGCCTGGAGGGGATTGTTAGTGAAGGCAGGCCAGGGTGATAAGATAGCTAGGGAGATACAAAGATAGCTACCAAGGGTGGGAGATTTATCACTAACCTGATTTAGCAGGATTCTTGCTCTAACTGGATTCTGCAAGGGCAGGGAAAGACGGAGACCCAAGTTCAGGTCTAGTTAAGCAAAGGCTCAGAGTGAAACTGTCTGTACTAAAATAAGGTAGCGCCATAAGGTATGAATAGTTATCAAAGTCTGCTCTCTATAAAAGAATAGATATAGCCAGAAGTTGGCCGGCCACTGTTCTGTAACTTCCTTATTGCTGTAACTGGTCACTGTTTACTGGCCTCTCCTCCCTGCAGGTGCAGACCCGATTCCCTAGGCCTTTGCCCACCAAAGTATCTTTAGAAATCTTTTTCCTGAATTCTTCGGGAGCTGGATTTGAGAATCCCTCCCATCTCTTCACGTGGCATCTGAAGTATTAAACTCTTTCTCTGCTGCGACCCCCATCTCAGTCTTTTAACTTGAGCAGCAGGTAATGAACTTGGCTGGACTATAACAAGAGGAGCCTGACTAAATTAAAAATGACTTCATGGATCTTTGTAGAAATTAGTGAAGCCAAAGTAAAATGGAAGTGGAACAGAAACATTCATCCTCTCACAAAGTCATGAATTCTAAGCAATATCTATGTCAAGAAGGAGATAAAGACGGAAATACATGTATTCCTTGAAACAATGATAATGAGGCCACAGGCTACAAAGTATGTGGGATACTGAAAAAGCAGTAAGGAGAGGTAAATTTATTGCTTTAAGTAGCAATATCCAGAAATCCAAAACAGCACAAATCAACAGCACAGTGGAATCTATCCTAAGGAACTGGAAAAGATGTTGGTCAAAGAAGAAGTCTTTGTGAAGCTCAAAAATCTCATAGTCAAATGGGTTAATAGATCAATAAACAAACTAAAAATGACTTAATTATGGGATAATTAATTTTTCAACTTAATTGCCAATTTTGATGTACATGGGTATCGCTGTAACTTGTGTTTCATATAAAGGGAGGTCCAGAAGTCACACTGATGTCACCATACATAGGAAAAATGGAAAATTAATAGCTAAATGCACCTTTATTTACAATGTATTCACTATAAAGTTTACAATATATTTGCAAAATATTCTCTACATGTTGGCCACCTCTTTATAATGTTTTATAATGAATATTTTATAAATAAAGTTACATTTAGCTTCAATTTCCCATTTTCTCTATGTGTAGTAACTTCAGCATGACTTTTGGAACACCCTGTATAAAATTTTCTAATCAGTATAAAATAATCATTCAAATTGAATCAACTCTTTGACAATAACTAAAATAATACCTATGCCCAGAGCACAGTCTACCATGTACAGATGGTGTCTGGCATGTTATCCTGGTTGTAAACATGGTTTTATCCAAACAAGAAAGTTATGTTTAACACAAAAATATTTTATACGGCATTGGTTTTTAAATTTAAATTAAAATTAATTAAAATTAAATAAAATTAAAAATCCATCTTCTCAGTCACACTAACCACTTTCCAAGTTCCCAGTGGGCTTGACACATGGTCAAAAATCAAAACAAAATGTTTCTGCATGATTTACATTTTCTCACTGACATTCTACTGTACTTGAAAGAGCTAAATTTGAAGTTCCAAGGAAAGAGACGCTTATTTATGACTCACTAAGACAGGTATGAGAATTTATGTCGAAATTAAAACTTTCTGTAATACAAACCCAAATAACCATTTTAAACATTCCTCCAACACGAATCAATATGCAGAAGATTTTAATTGTAATTGACAGAATTATGGAAATTGGCTATGAGAGCCACCAGAAGAATTTGAAGAATGCATTGTTGATGTAAGTGTAGAGGTGCTTTCCAATTTATGCAATACTCTTTTGCATTTGATGTTAATAATACCAAATTGACACAGAGTTAGCAAATTCCCTGAACTTGGACAGTAATGCTTTTGCTTCAAAGTCAAATTCATTCTTTGAAAAATGATGAGCCAGTTTTGTCAACACGGATACAAATGTGAAAGGACAATGACTTTTAGTCCTCATTCAGTTATTGGAGAACTTACGCTTTGAACAGTTTGGGTATGTAAACCATTTTTTCATGTACTAAATTTATAAAATCAAAGTATAAGTAAAATTTTATTTTGATGAAAATTTAACAACTGAATTGAGACATTGTAAGTGCAAAATGCATACTAGATTTTGAAGATTTTAAGGCACATAAAATATAGACATTGATGATTTTTATTTTGATTATACAGTGAATGAATAACAATACTTTATCAACATTGAGTTAGCTAATATAGGTTATCAAAATTAATTTTACCTCTCAGTTTTCACTGTATATAATATGGCTACTAGAAAAATTTAAATTATATATGTTGCTTGAGTTATATGTTTATTGGACAGAGGTGGTCATGGGGCAAGATTAAAACCATCTTATGAATGTGAAAAAATCAATAAAGGGCAAATCTAGAGAAAACTAGGACAGAAATCAGAAGAGAAGTATCAGGAGAAGAAAACATTTCAGAAAGGGAATTATTAAAATGTTGTAGAGGTTGTAAGATGTAACAGATGAAAAAAATGTATGTGATGCCCCAATTACCTCAGAAGGAGGGCTTTTAAAATAATTTTGCCAAATCAAGATCATTTGGTTCTGGCAGGTTACGCTCTCTAGGCTCAATTAGGTGGGCGAAGAATAGGGCTTGGGAGCAGAACTCGCAGAGTCGAGTGATGGGGAAGATTTTGGTGTGCTAAGGTGGGAGGGGACCCAGAGAAACTAGAGAGTGAGGTAACAGGGAGAGATCTGAGAGGAAGGAAGAGAGCAGAGCCGGTGAGATGACTTGAGGCTTAACACCCAGTGGGATGAGGAGTGATGGGGAGCTTCAGGGCTCTGAGAAGGAGGGATGCCTAATGCCACGTCTGAAGTCGTTGGCTTTGCCTCAGTGCAACCCATCTCTGCTGC